GAACCGGTTAAGGTATTTTTGGAGGGTTTCTCCAGGTTGCTGTCGTATCTTTCCAAGAGCGAACTCAGACTTTGGATGCTTCTTGCTGGTTGCAAAGTTCAACAGGAACTTCTATCCGAACTCCTCAAAGGATCCGATGGAATTAGCAGGCAAGGTTGAAAACCATGCCTGTGCTGCCCCCGTCAATGTTACAGCAAATATTCGGGATATGAGAGGTTCATCAATTCCCCGAATATACATGTCTGTGTCAAAGGCATCTATGTGCACCTGCGGATCTTGGCTCCCATCATATTTCGGTAAACGTGCCGAGTCAAAGTCCTCTAGGAAGACAGCGTTTAATATTTCAGTAGTGAATGGGCTATTATTATACTGCCCCCTGTTGTACTTCCTCCTATATCCGCCAAGTTCTACTCGTCCTCGGATGTTTTGAAGATCCTGTTGATACTGAGCTCTAACCCGGTCCTCCTGGCCGTCAGCATGTGCTTGATGATTTTGTGCATCCTGGCCATCAGTGACCTGGTGCCCCTGGTTTACCAGGTTACCAGGGTTTTCTGCATGCGGAACTTGGTGTGATTGAGCCGGGTTTCTAGGTCCTTCTCGGCCATAGGCAGGCTGGCCTTCGAAATTGGTCATTCCTTGCGCAGTCCGCCATGTTAATCGCCGCTCCAGGTCTTGCATCCCTCTGTTATTTTCCTCTCAAATAGCCCTGAAATCTTGTTGCCGTTGCATGTTAGTACGGGTTTCCAGGGCTGCTATTCGTTCCATAATTGCGTTTAATGCGTTGTTGGCCAACCGAGTATCCGGATCGGCCGATTGAGCGACGCGCGCAGCCAGATCGCCAGGATGCTGGGCAGGGTTGCTCATTATTGGAGCTATGTTCGCTGCAGCTCCCCCATTTCGGGGTGCCGGCGTTGAAGCGGTGTCTGAAACATCGTCTTCGACCTGGACATGGTCGTAATTCACGTTGTTTCCGATCTGATTATGAGGCTGATTTATCTCCTCAATGACTGGATCCAACGGCTGATTTTGGTTTGGGGGTGGCTGCTGGCTACTGCTCCTCGTCTGGATTGCCATCCCTTGTCAGATTTGATGGGAACTTCAGATTCAAATTCAGAGAAAAGAATTCCCCACAGACGGCGCCAATGTTCTGTCCTTGAGACAGAGATGTCTAGCCCGGTCAGGCTAGTACGTTAATATTGGATCTGATGCCCTCTCCAAGGTATCTATGAGGGAGATACCCTTGAGTCAAGGAGATCACTGTGCACAGAATACTATAATGGCGTTAGCCAATGGGGTGTGTGTGTGCACAATGACAACATAACAATGAGAGAGAGAGAATGTGTGTACCTTTAGGGTTTGCCCTGGTATTTATAGAGGTTACCTGTAGATAATTTGGATAGCTATGCTGACACATAAAGTGGATAGCTGTGCTGACACATTAAGATTAGTAGGATTTGATTAACCTCAATCCATATCTTAGATTGCCCCTTGTTGGGCTTACTACTTAATGGGCCCATCATATGGGTCCATAACAATTTGTATAACAACATTTAATACGTAATTTAAAATGTAATAAAAAATACATAACTAAAATTGTAAACGACATTCTTTTAAACTAACGAAATCTTCAAGAATAGAATTTGTAGTAAAAGTTTTAGCAATCTCTCTTTCAATATACAAAACCAAATTGTTTGCAAGAAAGTCATCATCCATTTTGTTTCGAAGTTTTCACAATTTTCATTACTGAGAATGCACGCTCACCAATTGCTGTTGAAACTGATAGTATTAAGATAAGACGAATTTGTCTATCCACCAAATGATAAGAATATGTCTTTCCTGTCTTATATAATCCTTGACACAATTCAGAAATTGAAGATAAGTTTTGAAGTTCTGAATGTTTTGGGATGTCCTTGTGAAAATGCTTCAATTGACAATTCAAAATAATTCTCTCTTGCTCAGAAAAATCAAGAGAATAGTATTTCTCTGCAAGGCTACAAATTATTTAAAGTGTAAAATGTATAATGTTCTTGCATTTTCTTGTTAGTGTAAAGTCCCAAGATAGTTATACAATATTACCACTTGTTTTTTTTTTTTTTGGAAACTGATCCTAATTACCTCTTCGAGGCGAATCAGAACCCTCGGTATCCCACGGATTTGACTCTTTGAGCCTATTACCACTTGTTAGTGTAAAGCTATAATGATGAATTGGCAACAAAGGTCACAAGATAGTTATACAAATCCAGAATAAAGCATCTATCGAGTAATGGAGCAAATAATTGGGATTTGCCTAATAATTCATTTTGCTCACAAAGAAACCAAATTGCAATGCGGCATGGTTGCACATACAAGGTCATATTAACAGAGATAATCATTTAAGAAAAGAAAATTTTTTAATTAATTTTTTCACAAACGTCAAAGAGGTAGCTAACATAGAGGTCAGCTAAAATTGTTTGGCGGTGAAAAGGAGCTAGACTAATAGCGAACAGGGATTGGGTACCAAAAAAAAAAAATGAAAAAGAAAAAGAAAAAGAAAAATAATAACCCAGAAAATCACTCAATGGACGGTGGATAACCAAGAAGAGCTCTTGTGTTGGTTGCCATGTAAGTGAAACCAAGAAGAAGAAACTCACTTCCAAATAGCCAGGTTATGGTTTAAAGACCAAACCTGAAACGTGTTGTAGCTCAAACCGAGAAGAAAAGAAGTCTTTGCTGTGAGGATTGAGACCAAGACTCCAAGTTAAGACGGCGATGCCAGTTCAAATATTTAGGGAAACACTAAAAAAACAAAACACTCAAAAGGCACTCTACTCTAACAAGTATATCTTCACAAAATAAAATCAATCACAAGAAAACTAGAAAAATTTCAGAATAAAAAATACCAATTTAAGAGCAAATACCATTAGAGTTTTGAACTTTGAGACAACCGCGAGAACACAGCTGGCGCTGGGGTTTTCAACTCCCCTTACAATTTATTAGGCTATTAGCTGAGAGACAAAGAACATAGATGGAGCCAAATTTTAACTGAACTAAATAATAATTAATTATATAAATGTATATAATAATAATTGTTTTTAAAAAGTCAGTAAGGGTCAGGCCCCATCTAGGGACTACGTGACTACGTCACTGTAATCATGATCATGCAATGGTAGATCAATGATAATAAAAAAAATTAAAAAAAATAATTATAAAATAATCATAGTTGTCATTTTTTTTTTTCATATGAGAGGGTCCATTTTCTTGTGGAGTTTACTTTCATAGTTGATTTTACCCAAATGCTCGTAGAAATAGAATCATAATTTTTATTTAAACGAGTTTAAAAATGAGAATTAATTTCATACTCATTATGATACAAGTAGGAAGTCCAATAGAAGTATTAAGAAGCCCACGTGGATGTCTGATTATACACTTTAGTGTAGTCACGTGTGTTGAATGTAAATGTAAAGGGGTGGGGGCATGTGTAATAGGCATCTAGTTGGTGGAAGTGGGAAAAGGGGTGTTATAAAGGATATACATACTATAATTGATTTTTCATCAGAATTAATAAATCGATTTGTCTTCCGTTTCTTTCCAATACAAGTTGTAACTTGTATCATCTGGTGCTTTCATCATCGAATCCAAGCAAACATGCGAGTTCAGGATCTAGCCGAAGAGTGTGCGTCTCACAGGCTGGAGTTCCATCAGCGTTTGGACCAAATTTCTGAGTCGATTGAAGCACGGTTCGCAGCGATTGATGCAAGGTTGAGGGATTTCATGTCCCATAGCCCACCGACGACGTCGCATGAATCTCTGAATCGTCCACATGTGCCGTTTGATTTGCACGATCAGCGTTCAGCTTTGAAATCTATGAAGTTGGAGATTCCCATCTTTCTAGGTCATGACCCAAATAATTGGATCTTTCGCACAGAGTCTTACTTCAGGATGCATCAGGTTCCTGACAACCTCAAAAGGCAATTAGCGGGTCTGAGGATGGAGGGTTCAGCGGGTCCGTGGTTTCAATGGGTTTTCAGTAGCGGAACGGTGCAGATTTGGGAGGAGTTTGTCAAAGCAGTTCGTGAGCGTTTTGGTGACCCAGATCATAGAGATTCGAGGGGAGTTCTTTCTAAACTGACTCAAACAGGATCCTTGCAAGATTACATGCGAGAATTTGAAAGATTGATGAATCAAGTTACGGGGATGAATGATGATCTTTTGATGACAATTTTTGTGTCAGGATTACAACCTGAAATAAGGGGAGCCATTGAACTTCATTGGCCAACAACTTTGCACCAGGCAATGAGATTAGCCTTGGCGTACAGTGCTCACCATGCAGAGCTTCGTTCATCATTTCATACCAGTCAAAAGAAATCTTTTGTTCGTTCTAATTCACAGACGAATTATACTGTTACTCAGCCACCAGATATGCAGACCACTTCTAATGGGTCATCTGTGCCTTCGTTGCCACCGATTAGTTCAATCCCAGCCTTACCTTCAACAGAGACGTCAACTACACGTTTACCGGTTAGACGTCTGTCGAATGAAGATCTTCAGCGAAAGAGGGACTTAGGTATTTGTTACACCTGTGATGAAAGATGGACTTCTAAGCATAGATGCAAGGCAAAAATGTTACTGCTTATTGGGGAACCTGAAGATACCCAGATGGAACAAGAGGAGGAGATAGTTTGGGGCATGGAGCAGAGGAATGAGTCTCGAGTTGATGCTGCGCTCCATTCCTTGTCAGGTACAGGTAACCCCCGCTCACTTCAATTGTTAGCTAGTTTGAAAGGTAAGAAGGTTGAGGTGTTGGTAGATTCTGGGAGCTCACATAATTTTGTCAGACATCAGTTTGTTGATGAATTGCAACTTCCTATTATTCGTATCAGTAAAATGAGGGTGTTCATGGGGAATGGTGATTTCTTACTTTGTAATGCTAAGTGTCCAAATGTTAAACTTAGTATTCAGGGTCAGGAATTCACAGTGGACTTATGGGTGGTGGATTTAAATCTCTTAATTGTGGTTTTGGGCATGCAGTGGCTTAGCCAACTAGGCAGGGTAACCCACGATTATGCTGGAATGTCCATGGAATTTGCTCATAAAGGAAGTCAAGTTAAATTGGTGGGTTTGCAGCAATCTGGAGTACCGAATGAGAGTTTACCAAGTGAGGCTTCTTGTTGTCTGTTGTCTCAACAAGTAATGGGGAAAGATTTGGAACAGGTACCATCTGAATTACTAAAATTAAAGGATGTTGTATCTCCTTTATTATGGCCTATACTATTGAAATTTAAGGCTGTATTTGATATGCCTTCTTCATTACCTCCTGCCCGAGACATGGATCACATGATTGTTCTGTTGGAAGGGTCCAAACCGGTGAATGTGAAACCGTATCGATACCCATACCATCAGAAAGAAGAGATTGAAAAGCAAATTTGTACACTGTTGGCAGCTGGTCACATTCAACATAGCAGAAGTTCATTCTCCTCACCAGTTTTACTAGTCAAGAAACAAGACGCAACATGGCGAATGTGTATTGACTATAGAGCTCTTAATGCTATTACTGTTAGAGATCAGTTTCCAATTCCAACCATAGACGAGCTCTTGGATGAATTGTTGGGAGCTACCATTTTTAGCAAACTTGATTTGCGAAGTGGCTATCATCAAATACGTATGAGACCCGAGGATGTGTACAAGACGGCGTTCAGAACACATGAGGGCCATTATGAGTTTTGTGTGATGCCATTTGGCCTCACCAACGCCCCAGCCACGTTTCAAGCAGCGATGAACAAGATATTTCGGCCATTTTTGAGAAAATTTGTTGTAGTTTTCTTTGATGATGTGTTGATATATAGTGCAAAGCTCGAAGATCATGAACAACATCTCTAGATGACTCTCTCATGCTTGCAACAAAATCAATTTTTTGTCAAGCTAAGTAAATGTGACTTTGGAGTTAGTGAGATAGCATATTTGGGGCATATGGTTACTGTGGGGGGTGTCAAAGCTGATCCAAGAAAAGTTGCTGCCATGTTGGAGTGGCCACAGCCAAACTCAGTCAAGCAGATGAGAGCCTTCTTGGGCTTAACAGGCTACTATCGCAGGTTTGTGCATCACTATGCCACTTTAGCATCTCCATTAACTGATATGTTGAAAGCTGATAAAATGGTTTGGACACCAGAGGCTGTTACAGCTTTTCGAAATTTAAAAGAAGCTATGTCCACAACTCCTATATTGGGTTTACCTGATTTTAAATCACAATTTATTGTTGAGACTGATGCTTCAAATTCAGGCATAGGAGCTGTATTGCTACAATTGGGTAAACCAATTGCTTATTTCAGCAGAAAGTTAGGACCAAGAATGGCAGTGGCCTCCACTTGTGTAAGGGAGCTGTACGCGATTACTGAGGCCGTAAAGAAATGGCTTCATTATCTGTTAGGTACGCATTTCATTGTCCGGACCGACCATCAGAGCATCCGTGAGTTGTTGTCTCAGACCATACAGACTCAAGAACAACATAAGTATGTTTACAAGTTGTTAGGATATAGTTTTACCATTGAATATAAGCCAGGTGCAGCAAAAGTTGTGGCTGATGCCCTGTCAAGGAAATATGAAGACTCTCAGTCTGGATCCTTGATGGTGAATTTCTCTGAGCCACACTTTGATATAATTACTCAGATCAGAGAAGAGAATGCATCCAATCCGGAGTTGCTGGCCATTCATGAGCTGATACAGAAGGGTCAATGCACTGATGCAAATATACATACTAAAGATGGAATTTTATTCCATAAAGATAGGTACTTATTAAGCTCTCAATCACAATTGAAGCAGATAATTGTAACTGAAGCTCACAGCTCCCCATTAGGTGGCCATGCTGGATTTTTGTGTACATTATTGCGCATAACAGCTTCTTTTTATTGGTCACATATGCGTGCGGAGGTGAGGGAGTTTGTTCGGAGTTGCGTTGTTTGTCAACAGATAAAAACAACAACTCAAGCACCTTACGGTTTAATTCAACCGTTACCTATTCCTGAGGCTGTTTTTGAGGACCTTACTCTAGATTTTATTACAGGGTTGCCATGCTCACAAGGATTCTCCACCATTTTAGTGGTAGTTGATCGAATGACCAAGTATGCTCACTTTGGTCCCTTGCCATCAGCCTATACAGCAGCAACGGTGGCTGCTCTTTTTGTGGATTTGGTTATTAAACACCATGGTTTTCCTAGATCCTTGGTGTCTGATCGTGACCCAATCTTCATGAGTCAATTTTGGAAGAAGTTGTTTCAACTTAGTGGCACAAAGTTAAATGCAAGCTCTTCATACCACCCTCAATCAGATGGTCAATCTGAAGTCACAAATAGGTACCTTGAACAGTATCTACGTGCATATTGTGCTGATCATATCCATCGTTGGGTTTCTTTTTTGGGTTGGGCACAACTGCACTACAATACTTCAGTGCACTCTTCCATCAACATGACACCGTTTCAAGCTCTTTATGGCCGAGAACCTCCGTTGATCCCTCATTACCCACGTGGATTAGTGAAACTTGAAGCGTTGGATTCACTTTTAAATCATCGAAATGAATTGTTAGCTACTCTCAAGACTCATTTGGAACGAGCCCAGAATAGGATGCGTAACCACGCTGATAAGCATCGTAAGGATCACTCTTTTCAAGTAGGTGACATGGTCCTAGTGAGATTGCAACCTTATAGACAAATCACAGCTGCCAGGCGTTCCAATAACAAGTTAGCAAAGCGTTTCTATGGTCCTTATCCAATCCAGAAAGTCATCAGTAATGTAGCTTATCAATTGCAGCTACCTGTAGGATGTAAAATTCATCCCACCTTCCATATTTCGACTCTGAGGCCTTTCCATGGTAATAACAGTTTGAGTTTCTCCTCCTTGCCTTTGTACAGTGTAAATAACAAGCCTGTGCAGTCACCAGTTGCTATTGTTTCTTCTCGTGTTGTCAAGATCTGTGGCAGCCCTCAACACCAGAGTTTAGTGCAGTGGTCAGCAGCTGTGCCAGAAGATGCTTCGTGGGAGCCCACTTCAGAGTTACGCCGTGTCTATCCTCACTTAGACCTTGAGGACAAGGTCACTTTTAACGGGGAGGCAGCTGATACAAGTAGGAAGTCCAATAGAAGTATTAAGAAGCCCACGTGGATGTCTGATTATACACTTTAGTGTAGTCACGTGTGTTGAATGTAAATGTAAAGGGGTGGGGGCATGTGTAATAGGCATCTAGTTGGTGGAAGTGGGAAAAGGGGTGTTATAAAGGATATACATACTGTAATTGATTTTTCATCAGAATTAATAAATCGATTTGTCTTCTGTTTCTTTCCAATACAAGTTGTAACTTGTATCACATTACGAACAATAATGCAAAACAAAACGAACGACTTGGCCAATCAGCCCAACTATTACTTGATTTCGGATTCAACTAATTGGGCTGATCGGAATAAAAAGGTCCATTTCCTTTTCCGCTTATATCCATAAGCTTCTCCCAATCTCAAATTAGGGTTTCGTACCCTTTAAAATCAGTTACGCTTTCTACCTTCACATTACTGTCTCGTGACTCAAATTGGGTTTGTTGAGCGTCAATTACTGATTAGCAGTGCTGTACAGCACATATACGCTTCGTGTTGTACCAGCGGACGACGCCATATAAATAATTTCTATGATATTAATTTTTTTGGTGTTCTCTCTTTTTTCGAATTCTTGTTTCTTTTAATAAGAAATAGCTATGTGATTTTGTGTACGTCTTAATTGAATTTGAATCCAGATGCCATTAGTGATAAATATTGAGATATGAGTTTTCTCCCGTATCCGTATGGTCCATTTTCATTCCATATTTACATTGTTAATACTTCAATCCATTTTTAGTCTTTTTAATTTAGGTTATCGATTTTTCAAGCAGTCCTCTGATCTTTGCAGCAACTCAATTAAGTGTTGGAATTACTCTACCGTGTTTAGTTAAAAAATGGATCTGACATGTTTTGGTATTAGATTAACAACTTGGTGGTCGTTCGTTGTGGCTGAAATTTGGTATTTATATTTTAACTTGTGCAAAGTGATGTGATGTGATGTGCTGTGCTGTGCAAATGACGGAGGTGATGATTTTTTCCCCACATGATCGACGCTGAATATACTGTGCCAATTTTCTCTCTTGAGAAACCAAGCCAAATAAACTGATCCCTCTCTCTATGCAATAACATTTGCCATTAGTTCCTTGTTAGGGAAATTAAGTATATATTTTCGTTTATATCATTAGGTCTTTTTTATATGGTAGGAGAATTTCGATGACTATTTTCAAAATCCTTGCTCTTGTTTCAACTGTTACTAAGGCTAGTTTGGATTATTTATTTTTTTTCAGAAGAAAAAAATATTTTTCACTTTAAACTTGTTTGAATGTCTGTTTTTGACAAAAAAGTAGAAGTTACAAGAAAGCCACTTTTTTTTTAGAAGCTAAAAATTTTAAAGTTTTAAAAAAGAACAGAAGTCAAAAGTCAACTATCTTTTTCGGAAAGGATATACTTACCACCAAAAAAATTTAATTTACCACCTTTACAACCAACTTAATCACCGTTGATTTTCATCAATTTAACGGTTATAATTTATTGAGAATTAATAATTTATTAATAAATGTGACACAATAAATGCTATTAATTTTCAATAGATTATAACTGTTAGATTGACGGAAATCAACGTGATTAAATTTGTTATATGAGTGGTAAATATTTTTCGTGGTAAGTGGATCCGTTCCTTTTATATTTTTATAAAAATATTTAGTTTTTGAAAAAGATATAGGGCAGGATATATTTACCACCAAAAAATATTTATCACTCTTACAACCAATTTAATTACTGTTGATTTCTGTCAATCTAACAGTTATAATCTATTGAAAATTAATTGCATTTCCCAATAAATTATAACCGTTGGGGTTGACGGAAATCAACGATAATTAAATTGGTTGCAAGAGTGGTAAAATTTTTTGGTGATAAATATATCCTGTCCTAAATATAAATAGTTTTAACTTTTGTAAAAATCACTTTTATAATAAAGAAGAAGAGATAAAAGCTATTTTTTTTTTTTCTAAAAACCCAATCAAACGGACTCTTATGTGTTATGTCATTTTGAGTGTTATCTAGAGAATGAATTATCTTTTGCATTACTTTTTTGTTCATCGGGTAAATTTAAAGTTCGCTCTAACGTAGTCATTAATGTGAAATTTCATTTAATTTTCGAATACTAATGATAATATTAACACTTCTAGCAGACCATAAATAAATCTCTTACACAAGTTAAATATGATGTACCCTTCAGAGCCAGAGTGTTAAATACATATTCAATATTTGGTTAATGGTTCCTAGACTCAGCCATGCCTTGAATGTTTGTTCAGAGATTCAGCTATCTATATACGCTAGTTTGGAACCCCACTTTTGTTGGGCACGTTTCTACATCTTTGTTCGTCCGATATATGTTGTTAGTTTGCCATTAGATTAACTCAGTGATTACTGATGACTGAAATTTGACTATGGAATTTGTCACTCAATGCCTTGTGTGGTGTTTTGTGGAGATGGAAGGATGGTTGACTGTTACGAATCTTTCAGTTTTTATTTTATTTTAATATATTATTTTGTTATTGTTGCTAGACTAGTATTTAAATTTGTTTGAATAAGTCTTGGCAATTTCCAGAAGCCTAGCAAAGCGGCTACTTGATATAAATTATTATGTTAATTCAAACTGTAATTGAAGGATAGTGATTTTTTTTTTATGCTTGATGATTATTTTATGGTAGTATTTTGTATTTTTTTTTTTATGTCTCCTCTATGTACTCCCACACTCTTAGACCTCAATAGGAATAAAGTAGGCACGAGATAAAATTACAC